ACTCGGCCATTGTGCTCTCAGTTTTCTCATCTGTAAATGGGGAGCACACTAGTAGTGTCTCCTTCAGAAGGTTGTGATCATTAAATGAAAATGTATACAAAGCCTGTCACAGAGTAAGAATTCAGCTATTATTATAAGGCCTTCTTTTTTTTTTTTTTTTTTGAGACAGAGCCTCAAGCTGTCCCCCTGGGTAGAGTGCCCTGGCATTACAGCTCACAGCAACCTCCAACTCCTGGGCTCAAGCGAGTCTCCTGCCTCAGCCTCCCAAGTAGCTGGGACCACAGGCGCCCACCACAACGCCCGGCTATTTTTTGGTTGAAGCCATCATTGTTGTTTGGCGGGTCCGGGCTGGGGATTTGAACCCGCCACCTTAGGTGTACATGGCTGGCGCCTTAGCCAGTTGAGCCACAGGCGCCAAGCCTATAAGGCCTTCTTAATCAATATCTCTTGGAGAAAAAGGAGACAGAGGAAAGGGCCCAGCCTAGACTGGCAAGAGGAGATGAGGACTCCAGGCTTCCTCTGTCTGAGCCCATCCTCTACCAAACTAGGGGTTGTTCTGGGGCTTGAGGGGAGAGATCCCCTGGCTGCAGCCCCTCCTTTAGCCCGACCACTTCCTCTCTGTGGACCGGGGCACCTGGACAGGGCCCAGGGTTGGTTTCCTAAGGTGGCACCAGGCCAGGCTCTGGCTGCATTGAAAGGGCGCTATCAATGAATCTCGCAGCTGTGCAGGTGTGCAGGAGAGGAGTTTGGAGGCAGAGGGACTACTTTGCCTCTACCATATTTCTCCTCATAAGGGTTCTGGTAGGATGCTCCTGGGATACTTCAATTTCTGAAGCAATCCAGAGGAGGTCATTTTCTTTTCCTAGTACTGTACTGCAATGAAGTTTTAGAGGTCCCTTTGAATAGCAGGGAAGATACAAGAATGAGCTCTGGGAGCCATCCAACCCTGCCTTCATCCCCTGGAAAGAGCAGCCTGGTGCACGAGCAGGAAGAGGGGCTAAATTCCTGCTGCTCAAGCACAGGCTGAAGACAAGCAAGCTTAGGCACCAGCATCTGGACTGCCCCTCAGATCCCAAGGTGATCCTGTTTGAGAGGCAAAAGGAAGGTCACTCAGATGATTAAAGGAGCTAGCTTGTGAGCTTGGGCATTTCTCTCTCCTTTTGGATGCCTATGGAATTAGAAGGTTTCTTTTGGTAAACCTCAGCAGAGAGCAGCAGGAGAGCTGCAAAGGTCTTCCCGACAGTGGGTGTGGGCAGAGCTAGGGCTGCCGCTGGAGCAGCAATTCAGGGGCTGGTGAGAGGTTCCTGACCTCGGCTTGGCTCTAGTTCCTGGCACCAGCAGCCTCTTAGCTGGTAAGTTCCTGGCAGGCCAGGCGCCAGGGCAACAGTTTGAGTAATCCTGTGATTACTCAGCTCCCCCTCCCCAATCTGGGTTCCCACCACCTGCTGCTTCAGGGAGGTGGCTCCCAGGGGTAAATTTTGAAGGTGAGTTATCATCAGACTAGTCGGCTCCTCTCCTAGTTCGGTTCCTCTTGCTACACCCTCCTTTCTACCAGTCCCCTTCCCGTTCTCCCTGCCCCTCCTCTACCAGCCACACACACTAGCACCAGCACCTGCTCTCTGAGGCTCTGTAGAGCACTGGAGAGGTACAGGTGACAGGGGAAGGAGGGAGAGATAGGACAAGAGGACCTGACAGTGCTGAGGGGGCACTGAGTTAGGAGTGGGGCCAGGACACGAGTGTAGGATTTTCTGTTTTTATGTCTCTATCCATCTCTGCTCTCTCCAGCTCAGAGAGGCTAGAAGGCCTGTTTCCACACCCTGTGTGCCTCTGTCTGGGACTGAAGGTAGGGAGGACAAAGGAGGGCTGACTCCCTGACTGGGTTCCCAGGCTCTAGCACCCACCAGATGCAGGTCTGTGAAGGGATCCTTGGCCAGCTGCATCTCCATATGAGAAGGGCAGGGTCTTGGTAACACTGTTGTGAGGTTCCTAGGGCCAGTACCAGCAGGTCAGTCGTGGGGCAGGGAGCTGTGTCTGGGGTCAGCTGTGGGGTCAGCCATGTGGTCAGCTTACACACGCACACGGGATGTGGCTCTTGGAGAAGGGAAGAGGCAGGAGGCCTGTGGTTGGCTGCTGGGCCAGAGCCTAAGTTCCCACTGTGGCTTGGCCTAATCTCCCTCCAGCTTACTTTTTTGGGTGACCCATGTTGGTTTCTCCCCTCTCCGGTCTTAGGGCCCCTGAAGAGAGAGACAACACAGTGCCGGAGGAGAGGGTGTCAGCAGGACAGACCCTGGGCCGGTGCTTCCGGGCCTCTCTAGGCCTTCCCTGCTGCTCGCCAAAAGCGAGCACATGTGTGCCTTCCTCAGCCGGTATCCCCAGCACATGTGTGCCATCCTCAGCCGGTATCCCCAGCACATGTGTGCC